CAAAAAGAATCCATCTTGCGATCCAGGCTGTTTCCCTAACTTTTCACCACTGCTTCCCGTGTCTCGCCTGCATGCATTTCCAACTGCGACCAGTTTATCGTACTATCTGCTCTTGAGGAGCTCCTTCAGGAGGCTAAGAAAGCTCACCATACGTCCCGCAAATTCGTTAACCACTCTGGCACCACTATGCTTAAGTTGTGGCTATTTTTTCTTGATTGCTAAATTTGAATTCTGGGTGTTATTCTTCTACAAATGGTCAAACTGGTAACATCCATAATCGGTAATAACCGTTACAAATAAAGGTATTTCAGTTGTCATGTGTTAAATTCGGAATGCTGTCAGATGCAAAGGATCTAGCGGACCTTCTAAAAATGGTCGCTGAAAAAGGAGCCGAAATTGAAACGAACCAGCAGGTAACGTTTTGTTGGGTTGTGGTTTGACCATAGTTCGGTTGTTTTTCACCGAGCCCTTTCTCGCCCTACTTTGTTCTACTTGTAAGTGCCGTAATGATGACCTAGAAGTGGTGCTTTAGTATCTGGACAGCTTAGCAGAATTAATACGTCAAGGAATAGAGGCCGCTAACGAGGATCTCAAAAAGGAAAACGATCTTCGCCTCCAACAAGAGGTTTGACCGATTTGACAAATATTTTCTCATTAACAAGCCAAAAATTATTTTGGATGTATTATTTACTGTCATTATGTCTAAAATAAGCAGTTCCCGAAAAATTCAGGGTGTGATCCGGCAACTACCGATTATGGGATCGCTAGTGAATTGGTGGTCTCCGATAGAAAAGGATGGACGTGTTCGTGGGCGATTTTTCAATTTGAATACCGGTGATCGCTTTGTTTGCTCAGATTATATAACTGGTTCTTTATTTCATATGGAAGTATTCAGGTGAAATCCAAACAACTGATGTCATCTACAAACATAAGAAGGACTCCATTGCCACGAGTCATGGTGGAAATCCTAAGGTGCGTAGGCTTCTTGTTCGAACCTAGCAAGCCTCAGAAAGAACACCCTTGATAAGCTTCGAACATTAAAAAAAACCTGTGGAACGCTTCATATAAGTTCATAATCGTTTCAATATGGGATATTTCGTTGGAACTCCTAGATAAAGCATTCGCCATCAGACTTTTTTTCCTGCATGCGCCTTGCATCAGACCGAAAGTCGTTATTACCACCGTCGGTTTCCGAGAGGACTTAAGGGACGAATTCACGATTAGAATGAAGATTGAAGAAGGAGTAATTCACCTAGTTGAGGGACCCGCGGACCTCCTAAGGGTGCGGACTGAAGCGTTTCTACTTCTCCTCAATTGACGTTGGTTGTTCGACGGTAGGCTTTGTCGTCGTTGTCTTTTCAACATCAGCTGCAGCCGCTTTCGTCTCCTTCTCGCCATTTGCAACCGCTGTTGAAGCCTAAACTACACAATTAGAGGCGGAGGTCACGATGAAAGGCAGCCTATTAGAAATCGAGGTAAAGGTGTTCAAAAGTGCAGTGCTGAAGAAAAAACATACGAAAGCGGCGCAGAACCCAAAAAGTGCGACCCTTTTTGCCCGCTATTTTCCGCTTCGTACGAATCAGAAACCAAGGAAGGGACTGTTTGCACGTCTTAATTAGATTTCCGGTCGAGATAAAATATGATTGCTGTGAACATGCTTCCACATATTCATTTCTTTTATTTTGTTGTCCACTGTTTTCTAACTCTACTCACAGTACCGTATGAGTTGCAGGCAGCGTAACCCGATGTATAATACAACATATTAACGACGGAGGCAACGCAGTCAATAAGGAGGCCACACTAAACTTTGAAACACAATGACAGAAACAAGCGTGTTCCAACCCTTCACACCCCCTCCTACTCCAGGCTCAACAAATGGGTTCTGTTTCCTGAGAGAACGACAAGGTTGGCCAATTGAACACCAGCAATCAAGGACACAAACTAAAATTGAAAATCACTGAAAAATTTACACGGGAATTTGCGAGGAACACATGTATCCATAGTGGTTGAAGAACTATGCTCGCATGTATAGAACTATGCTTGTATGTAGAGCTTTAGAGCCACTCAAAGGACGATGTCAAGCTGGAAAGGCAACTCATTTCAAATTAGCTTAGCGATGGTGAGGTATTGCTGTTGCTGTAGAGCTCACGAAGAATCTTGATGTACTGAGTAGGGACGCCCTGGTTGCCCAAGGCTTCGATGACCGCTTCTGTCTCCACAGAGTCGAAGGCCTTCTTCAAGTCGATGAACGTGAGACAAAGCGGCATCTTGTACTCTCGTGAAACTTCAATGAGTCTTGTAACCGTGTGGATATGGTCGATCGTGCTGAACCCTCTTCGAAACCCTGCTTGCTCGCATGGCTGTCCTTCATCTAGTATTCTGCCGATCCTGTTAAGGATGACTCGAGTGAATAGCTTGTAGATTACAGACAGCAGGCAGATTGGGCGATAGTTGCCAATGTCGTCCAGGTCTCCCTTCTTGTACAGCAACACGGTCCTGCTGGTTTTCCACGGAGTGGGTACCTTGCATTCCGACAGGTAGCGCGTGAAGAGTCGAGCCAGAGTTTTGATGATGACTGGCGGCGCATTCTTCAGATGTTCCGGTTTGACCCTGTCGAGACCGGGTGCTGTACGATTCTTCACCGACTTGATGGCGTGTCGGACTTCGGAAGAGAGTACTGAGGGGACGACGTATCCATCCTGTTGCAGTTGATAAGTGGGCAGATGGACATGGCTATCGAAGAGATCCGAGTAGAAGTCGTGGATGACTTTCTCCATTGCCCTTCGGGATGCAGTAACTGTTCCATCCGGACGTCGGAGGCAGGTCATCTTGGTCTTGTAGCTGGCAAAGCTTCGGCGGGCATTGCGGATGCTCCTCCCAGCCTCTGCTGCTTCAGCTAATACTGCTGCTCTTCGCTCCTTGAGATCTTCCTTTATCGCCTCTCTGCATAGCTTCGCAAGCTCGGACGTGAGTTGGTGATTGCCTGCAGCTCGTGCGGCTCCACGTTGGCGTATCAGCTCGAGAGTTTCCGTAGACAGACGTCCTTTGGTGACTTGCAAACTCTCTGCCTTCCTGCCACTCTCGTGAAGGTGTTCAACGAGCCGATGATATTCCTCGTCGATGTTCTCGATAACGGAATCCTCCCATAAGCTGACAAGGGAAGCGAAGTGGTCCCAGTTGATGGTTGTCCTGGGGCTTCGCTTCCTGAACTTTGCTGCTCTCTCAACACGCATCGAGAATTGGAATCTTGCGCGGAGGAGACGACTGCGTGAGAACGTCATGCGTCAACTGGAATGGGAAGACATGGGAGTGAAGGTCGACGGCCGGCAACTACACCACCTTCGTTTTGCTGACGACATCGTTCTTATAACGCCGAACATCGAGCAAGCGGAGCGAATGCTGGCTGATTTCGACTGCGCCTGTGGTAAGGTTGGTCTACAGCTGAACCTAACGAAGACGATGTTTATGAGAAACGGATTGGTTCCTGATGCCCCATTCACGCTCAACGGAACGAACATCACCGAATGCTCCAGCTACGTGTACCTAGGTCGGGAAATCAATATGATGAACGATCTAGCTCCAGAGCTGAGCAGGAGGAAACGAGCGGCTTGGGGAGCGTACAAGAACATCGAGGGAGTAGTGAAGAAGACGAAGAACATCCGGCTCCGTGCCCACCTCTTCGATTCCGCTGTCCTTCCTGCCCTAACCTACGCCTCAGAGACTTGGACTCTGCGCAGGCAGGACGAGCATGCGGTCAGCGTTATCCAACGCGCTGTCGAGAGGACGATGCTAGGAGTAACCCTATACACGCAAGTGCAGAGGGGAATCCGGAGTGCCGAACTACGCCAACGATCGAAGATCAGGGACGCTGCCGTTTTCGCCAAGGAATCGAAGATAAGGTGGGCCGGACACGTCATGCGATTTTGCGATGACCGTTGGACCAGAGCGGTTACCGACTGGATCCCTCGGGACGTCAAACGAACACCTGGACGACCGCCGGCCCGATGGTCAGACTTCTTCACGAAAGCTCTGAACGAAAGGAATGAAGGACATCGTGTCCCTCGAGCGAGGAGGGTCCACTGGACAACTCTTGCACGCGACAGGGACGAATGGAGACGTTGCTGGCGCCCGCTCGAGCAATTCGATGATCAACGGGACGACAGGTGATACAGGTGATGATGGTGAGGTATACTAAAGAAGGAAAAACCATGAGAAACGGCCCAGAACCCGAGAAATGGGACCCCTTCCTTGCCCGTTGATTTGAGCATTGATGCGACTATCATCGCTGTGCCCTCTTCAACGCTACGCTCTCTCACCTATCTAATCACTCACCACGTATAGACCTGCGGCGAGTGATCAGCGGTGATCGGTGAGCGTGCACTGACCCACCGCGC